GCACTCTGTGATGGGAACTGCTGAGAGGGAGTGAGTTATTGCATGTACTTACCACCTGCCCACATCATCAAGACAACAGCAATCAGCAAAGACATGTGCTCATCCCAGGGAAGTGCTCATGACCCCTCCAAAGCACAGAACTGCCCCTGCCACCATTATCATCACGCTATCCCTCCATGCTGCACCACGATGGAAGAGTCTTCTCCTAGAGGTGACAGAGCTATGGCTCACCACCAACATGCACAAGGGTAACGGAGTCTACAACCACAAAGGGCTTTTGCAAATGTTAGGAGTTGTATGTGTTGAGTAGCCCTGAGTAAATAACAGGGGATACACATACACCTTGGCTGCTGTCCTGCATTGCTTCATCCCCAAGAGCTGTCACAGTGCCAAAGTGCCACAAATATGTCTTGCCTGTACTTTTTGGGTATCTGGCATCCACTGCTTTAAGCTGTCTGCCTGGTCCACATGTCCAAAAAGGCTTCTCTAATAGAGCAATAGTTTGTCTGTCCGTGGAGTTGATGGGTACCTCCTCATGCAATGTGAACAGATTCATTGCCCCTCACTGAACGGATATGCTACTTTACTGAGAACTTAGTTCTGTGGGTTTCTTTTCTCCAGGACCACAAGTAGTCCAGCCCAGTCCTGGTATCTCATGCCAGTGTCTGTCAGCAAGTAGGGAGATACGTTGTCACAGATTATTTAATTTTGCCACGATACAGGAAAGCATCGGAGCAATGAAAACTCTTCACCTTTGGTAGTAAACACAGCCTGCCAGCACATACTAGAATGTAATCTAGCAAAACAAAATTAATTTTGGGAGTATTTCAAATGCTGTGAAGGAACAGCAGGCTTTGGGTGGGCTGCTCTGCTCTGTGAATGCTGCTGGTTAATACCCAGATGTCGAATGCCAACTTTCCATTCACTGCTGCAAAATAACAGACTGCCATGTGGTAAAAATAACCATGGGAGTTATGCAGCACATTCCAGCACTTGTTTCACCTACAACACACTGTCAGAAATATATCTGTGGAAGTTCAATGGGCATCTGTATCAATGCTATCCCAAACAATATATTTCAGGTTTATGATTTGGAGAATAAGTTTAAGGGAAGGGGAATGTTTTTCATTCCTTTTTTCCTCCTTTGGTATAATTTACCTAAAATCTAAGGTAGATGTGGAAAACAGGAGATCACTTTTTCACTTTGTGACAATGGGAAAGAAACTCAGAAATGGCTGCTTTCCTCTAACATGGACCTGAGATCTTTGGGACTACACAAAAAACTGAGCTAGCTTTAAAGCTTCTCTACGTCTTAGGGACAGTTTGTGCTGAGAGACAGCCTAAATCCATGTCCGGCTTTGCTCTGCCACTGATACAATGGTACCACCTATCTGGCAGCCAGGTTTCAAATATTTAATAATGCAGCAATGCCTTTCCATCATTCCCACTACTGACAGTTTTCTAGCCCACTTGAGACTCAATGAATGGTGAATAAGGGGTCCAAATTTCCTGTTAAGACCACCAGACCAACCACGTTTTTAAAGAAATGCAAGACACCGGGATTTTTACATGCAGTGTCATAAATCTTACTCTGAAGACTCAAGTTAGACAAGCAGGAGTTCTGGAAGTCCAGGACCAAACCTGCTTCAACTCTGCTTATTCTTCTATTTCCATTTTGCATTCCTGGATATGAAGACTGTTTCTAGTGTTCATGTATTTCAAAATCTCTAAACATGTTAAACTAATCCCAACTATCAAATGATCATCCTGTCTGTAATCCACTGTTACAATGTTCATATGCCTGCATCTTGTCTTAATATTGCACACCCTGTTTTTTTAACTTGTATGTGCATCTTGTACTTCTATGTCTTCCGTTGGTAATTTTCAGCATAATGATAGTATTTAATTATTTGTATTGCATTCTCTGTTCTGTTTTATTTCTGGTTTTGTGATGCAGATATTTTTTCAGTTGCATGGCATGAAGTGTACAGAAATGCTGACTAATGTAGGCATCCTCCTTCCAAATGCTTTTGCACACAAGAGAGCTCATTAAATCATTACACTTACTCGTCTAAGTTTACTCATATGCACATATCCTTGTAAGCTAGAAGCTGAAGTATATGATTTCTCATGATAACATGGAAGTCTAATAAATAAACAGCAGTCTGTACACTCATGCATTTTTGCTGCCTCAGTTGAAATTAAACACCTCCCACACAAAGGAGAACGGGTTACACTAGCTTAAGAATAAATGCTACATGCATGTGTACCTCTTGCAAAACGTCTGGTTTTAGTGTGAAAGTCACTTATAAGTGAATTATAAAAAGCAATACCCAACTGAAGCATTTATATTATGTGCAAGGCCCTTAAGACTATCTACAAACCCACAGCTAGGTCTATTCTTTCCCTAAGGTAGAGATATTTGCCTCTTCTGGACAGCACAGACGTACATGAGCCCACAACCTCATTTACGAAATGTCAGTTTGGTCTCAAACACTATGTCCTTCAGTTTTCCGCTCTAAGTGTCACAGTTCACTCAGCTTGTCAGACCTACTCTTTACGTCCAGCCTGCAAATAAAGATGGGTATTTCTCTAGTGCCGTGGCTGTTCATGTAGTAAATGCAGAGGTATGAGAAAGGGACCTGCTGAATGCTTCAGTGTATGCAGTAGAAATGGTGCTCTCTGAAGTGACAATGGGAGGCTCTGCCACAAGAGGAAAGGAATGACTGCATGTTCCCCCTTGTTAAAGCAGGGGCACGAGTGCTGGCTGTCAGCAGATGTTGGATATTGGCCTTCATGAGTAAGCTTTACCCTGCTCCTAGACCACATGTAAAAGACTTTGTATATTTTCCAGTAGGGACAAGCCCACTATGTGTGCTATAGACTCTTTCACAGATGTCTTGATACTGCAGCTGCTCTGTGCTTGCACATAGGATGAAGTGTGACTCTAATGAATATGCAAGATCCATGACACAGTGGCCATACAGTCCCCTGGCACCAACTCTATGGCTAATCTTGCAGTAGTTTTCCTTCCTCCTGGTAAACCAGCTTAGCCTGACCTCTCTCGCTCTCATTGAGAGGGTTTGGGCTGTTTCATAGTGATCCCATTGGATAGTGCATACTGCACTTCCAAAGGACCATTGGGCCTCTGCAAACATGAACATATGAATGGTCCCCCCATAATCCTCCTCTCTGATTCTCTCCCAGGAATGCAGAGGGGAAATGTGGTGCACAGGCAGTCCTTTCAGGTTGAGTTCGTTCTCCTTCACTCCTCAGATAACGTGCTTGACATCTCTCTTCTTCCTACCTTTTTTATAGCCCTTTACCTTCTCAGCCTATCTTGATGGGATTTGGATATGTCATGTTGTCATAAATATAAACTGTAATTAGACTAATGACCTCAACCTCTACTGTCTTATCTCTACAGTACAAGTGTAATATTTTCTCATTTAAATTAAAATAAATTTTTACTATCTTTGGAGCTCCCTTAGGTAACACGTAAGTTAAGCATGCTACTGAGGCTGTCAAACAAATGTCCTTTCAACTCAGCATCAAGCAGCTGACCTGTCATTTGACAGATAGGTGGTCACAGCAGAAGAGAGCTCTGTTACTTCCAAATATTCAAAGATTTTATTTCATGGGTGCAGCCAAAGAAAAAAAGCCATACTACAGGGGCAAAGGTTTTACATAGAATTTCATCCTACACTTTGAACTAATTAAGCAAAGCAGGTTTTGTTGCCATCAGTGGTGGTACTCACATAGCTGAAATTGAGCACATGCTGATGTGTTTTGCTGGATGGGGTCAGAGCACTTAGCACCTTGCATCATTCAGCACTAGATGAATTATGTATTACAATACATATTTCTGAAGTTCACTCCATGAATTCTTTCCATCTACTGCATTAATTTATGGAACAAAACATCAGGTAGCATATGAAATATATAAAAAAAAAAAGCTTTCTTGCCTTATGTTACCACAGATGTAAAAGAACAATACACATTCTCAAATCAGTTTTAATTAATATGAATCACAAGACAGAGACCAGTAGTGTGAGGCAGCTCTTAGATTCATGCTGATCTATTCCAGATAAAAGCCATCCAGCACCATCCAAGCTTAGAGTGGGTCTACCTCTATATATCCCCAAAGAAACATTCTCTATGATTCCTCCAAGAAATTTTACAGGAAATCTGGCATAAGGCAAACTGAGTTCACCAGATGCTAGGCTAATATCTCAACCCTTGGATTGTTGGTCTTATTTGCTTTTTTTCTGTCACTCAGATTACACATTTGTAAAAGCTGTGGTGCCAGATTTGAACAACTATTTCCAGTTTTCTGCCAGCTGAAAAACCTCTGAATTCACATTGCATCAGCAGCAGAAGCAGCACTGGAATTTGCCCGGTGAGGGATAAAAGCATTTTCCTCATGATTTTCAGGGCTCATTGTTTGTAGCAAAACAAAGGAAAACAGAAAATAAGAGGACAAATGTTCACTCAGGCAGTGATGGGAAACTAATAAAAGGAAATAATTCTAATGTCCAAACCTTGCTTCTGAAAGCAGCAGATATTTTATTTGCTGGTTGCATCTGCCGTTGCATTCGAGAGTCATTTGCACCAGTGAAAAAAGAGTGCAAAAGAGTGTCACCCGTCTTTGAACTCCTTTTGGCTATAGGAGGTGTAAAGCAATGGAGAATCTCTCTAGTGTTAATCAAGTCATACATGTGCATCTGAAGGGGGAACGCGGCCCTCTTTTTAGCTCCCTTGTGAGAGAAATCCATCAAAATCCATTAAACACAAAGATACCATGATGGCTCTACCTTGCAAACCATGGACATCTGAGAGACAAATTCTGGGCAAGCTTGGCTGTGTGTGTGCCTGCTCTTATGCTCCTCCCTGGGCAGCTGCTATCAGCTACTGCCAGAGATGGAGACCTGGGCAAAGAAGGTCTCTAGCTTTAATGAGAGCAGCTGTTCTTAGGCAAAGCAAAAGGAAAATGTCGCTACCTGTGTATGTTTTCTTCCAGCTTTTTCACCTTCAGTTCATCCTCTTCTGACTGCCTCCTTCTGGCTTCTTCCTCTTCTGCAGAGCCAGCAGGAATTCCCTGTAGCAGCCATTTTTCCCGAAGAGCTTTTGACTGTGAGGTTAAAAAAAACCCAAATCTTAGGAACAGACTGAACAAAAAAAATCTGAAGATTGACAAGGAGCTGCCTCTGCTTCTGAATATTTGATTGTCCCCATTTCTGATTACTGCTTTAGACAGTCGATTTAAACCAATCTATCAGCTGTTTATCCAGATATCAGGTCTTCCAGATTTAGGAGCGTCAGTTTTACAGTACACATTTTATTTAAAATCAATATCTTAATATGAAGTGATTTTTAGTTCCCCATAAAAACAAGAGTTTAAAACGTGCAAATTAGCCAGTCCTGCAAGAAGTGAAATCTTTGAACAAAAGTGTGGATCTCTCATGAATGACAAGGCATGTGCTGGAAGGACTAAAATTATAAACTTCTTAAAGCTTCAAAAATAAAAGAGCAGTGTGCTCTAAATGTAATGTGTTTTATGAAGTATATAATCAGTCTGCTATTAAATTAATAAAAGATGTTATTTTTTATTTATACCACAGATGTGTCTCTGTACATTTACAGGCATACAGACAGGCAGACACACACATGTATACATTCACACAAGCACACTATTCCTCTTAACCAGAGACAAAATAAAACAAATGAACAAAAGTCTTCCATAAACCATAGGTATCCCAGGGCATAGCAACACTGTTGCAGAAAGCAGCAATAGTCTACATGCAATAGAATTATTCTTGGGAATTTTGATGTGCTTTCTACACCAAAAACATGGCTACAACCTCACCTGGCCACTGTCTAATCCAGCTGCAGCTCACCCAGGGGACTTCATCAGTGGAGATTCACCAGCTGCAAGCAATCCATTAAAGAGCACATCAGCCTGCGTGTCTTATTTGGCCCAAATCCTGCCAGAGGGATGCAGCACATCAGCTGGCAGACAGGACAAGGCCTGCTGAAAGGAAGATCAGGAGCTCAAAGCCATGAAGGACTTTGCTCCTTGGCAAGAAGGAAATGGAGCTGGTGTAAATAAACATTAGCCAAGGGACCAACTAAAGTAGCCCCTTGCATTGGACCAGAAAAAGGGAGCCTTGGTTTTGAATTTGCAAAGTGATTGGCAATGCTAGTTCAAAAAAATGTAAGAGCATGTTTCCTCCCCATTAAAGAGGAGCTAATAAGGAAATCATCAGTTCAAAGAAACTGGATTTCAGAAGCTGCCCAAATATGCCATAACATAGTCTTTTCAATGCCATGTTTGTCGCTGTAATGGAACCTGACATGCAAACTATGTATAAGGGAAAAATATTCACCACCAAAAGCAGGCTTCAAACCCAGCCCAAAATAGAAAGATTTTTGACATGACAGACAAGGCTTACTTGTTATTTTTTGAGTGTATATATAGACATAGTATCTATGCACAAACTATTCTTGTCACTCAATGGCCTGACATCAGGCAATTAGATTTTAGTAAGACAGCAGACAGAAAGCAATACAAAACACACAATTGAATTAGACTTTATAAATTACTCCAGCTTTCACTGACTTAAACTGTGCTGCACACCAGAGGACTTCCAGGTGGGTTTTAAGTGATTTGTATATGAATTAGGGTTTCTGCATGATGGAAGAGGTCTTGTGTTCTTGTATCATAGAGTAATGCTCAACAATCAGACCCACTAATGCTGAAGACATACCTTACTTGGCTGTACTCAGCTTTGCTCATGGCCTCCAAGGTTCACAAAACATTAAAGGTGACTTATCTCCAGCCACAGTTTCTCCAGGTTGTGGCTCCTTTTGCTGCCACCACTAGTGTTTCCTGCCACATTTCATGGGGTGGTAGTGAGATTTCTCTGTGGAATCTTTGCTTTCTTGTTCAACCCAGATGACTACTGCCCAGAATTTTCATCAGCTCATTCAGGCCCAATGTGCTATTGAAATGTCCCCTCAGCAAAGGACTCCCAAGCCATCACACATACCAAGAAACAAAGTGAGGTAGTCAAAAACGGATTTACAGGTCCTGAGGTGCTACACATTTAACATCCTGTGCTTTGGCATTTAGGAGGTCTCAGTACTACTCAGTGGGTACTTGCTGGGCTAAATCCAGTGTAAAGTGCCGTGGAAGCTGATAATTCTTTCAAAAAACTCTTGTCTTTTCTTTAAAAAAGAATGTGGCCGGTTGCATGTGGAACTATTTTGCTACATGTGTCATACTCAGCTGTGGTCTCCAATCTGAAATCCTGAGTGATACTCAGTTGGAAAAAAACCCCAAGTTTCTGAAGACCAAACTCTAAAGATGAATGCAGCCTTCTCCATTCTAACCTTCTTTTAGATACAGCTCCAGCTGTCCTAATAAAGCCTTTGGCAAAGCACCGGTGGTACAGCACTGAAGACGTTCAGTAAACAGCCCTCCTCATTTGGTACAGAAGGACAGATAAAATCCAGGATTTCTGAGCTTTCACAGAATCTCCATACTGATGCTCAGATAGGGAGAAGCCAGTCCTTTCAGTGCAACTGCTGTACACCAAAAATAAGATATTTTGTGCAGCTTTTGTTTTGGTCTTTGTTTCTATGAAACATTTAAGCTAAAAAATCACTTTTTTTTTGTTTTCCCAGAAGCCTCATTTTTTGACCTATTAATAGCATGAATTTGAAACAGGAAAGCATCAATGGGACTTTTAAAAAGACATATTTAGAGACAAGAATGCTATGATCTGCTAAAAATCTTCCCTCTTGGGTGAAATGTCAGCATATTTTATCTAAAACAGGAAAGCTAGTAACTTTGATGTTTCTGGCTTTCTTTTCAAGATGAAAATTAAGGCATTTGTTAAATACTACACGAAGGAATCCAGTCAAAAAGGCTCTAATAAATGGAAACATTTACAAGAAGCATTTCTTAAAATTCAGAGGGTCTACTTGCCAAGCTGTTGAGGGTGTACCTTTACACACCTACTGTAAATACGACCAGCAAACAGTCAGGCACAAATCAGGGCACTGCACACAACTGTCTTGCTGTCCAGGAAACATTTTCTCCCCTGCCAGATGACTGGCATAGTGCTGGAGCAGTGACTAGGGGTGGATCTCTCACCTGCTTAGAGCAAACCTCTCCCAGGGCATTTTAATCAGAAACCCAGGGAGAAGGCTTTGGCACACACGATGAGACCAAGGGTGGGTAGGGTGCTATAGGGAGATAGGTGGTGGTAGAGCTGCACTGGGTGCCTGGGTACGAGACAGTCCAGTGAGGCAGCCAGCACAGGGGTAGTCCAGATGCAAATAAAAGCCAGATGTGGCTTGGAAACAAAAGGTGGTTTGCTGCCATCCATCCTCCACAGCTATGAAATCTGGGTTATGCTTTTTGAAAAAATCTTGCAAAATCTTATCCCAGGAAGAATAGGAGGTGTTTCTCAAATCTGCTAAAAGGAGGACGCTTGAATGAGGATGGAGCCCAAAAATAGCTGCTGTACGAGTTATCCCTGCTTAACAATGTTGTGCATTTGATTTACTTAACAGTCTGTGATTAAAATGGCCACAAGCTAGAATTTCAGCATTGCTCCTTCTTCACCGTCTGCTAAGAGCCTTAACTCTCTACTGCATTTTGGAGCTTCTTTATGCACCAAAGTTGTGCTGTATGATTAGACATTGTCAAAATTATATAGGGCTCCAGGAGTGGCCAGGTATAGTATTGTGAAAATACAGGCATTCGTACAGCTCATTCCAATACTGGAATGTGGATATGTTGTACTTTCAGGAGGCACCACTCCACCGGTACAACTATGCTATGTACAGCTTGGTGTTAAGTATTTCTTCATTTACTGCAAGAGTACAATTTCTTCAGGGCTAAATCCTTCAGCAGAAATTAGATCATGTCATTAAAAAGGCTCGCTGTTACTGAAGTGGAAAGGGCACTGGGCTTGCGATGCTCTAGGTCACCACTACTTTCAGGTGATTTAGTTTCTCTGCACACAAGTGAGATTGCAGAGATAACTGGCAGCTCCACATCTATTTCGTTCAAGCATAGGAAACCAGAGTAACTTCTACACAGTGCAAAAAAGGAATAAAACGATTCTGTGAATAGATCATGGGGAGGACAAAAGTAAGTGAACAGATGTTGGCCAGGACAGAAAGAAATCATGCCAAATGTTTGAATGCAGTAGACACAATCATGGCCATAAATGTGGTGCACAGCTCCCTTACGTGCCATTTGTTCCAGTTTCATGCTTCGGGACAGTAAAGCCCAAGGGCTTTAAGTTGTTTACATTTAGGGCTAAGCCAGGAAATAATGCATAACCCCTCACATGCATGTAGTAGAATTAATGCTGTATTGAAAACACCTTTACTTTCAATGCTGCATTTTGCTTTAATATTGCATCAAAAGTTTAAGTATTGGGCAACATTTTCTTGCAGCAAGTAAATCTTTTTAATACCGTTTTCATGTATCATAATACCCATTCCATGCAACCTCTGGACTCCCTGCATACAAAAGGTGATTAATTCTACCTATCATTCTTGTTGATTTCAGAACTACTTCCATAAACATTGCTCATAAAGAATAACACACTTCTAGTCTCACATGAAATGTGGCAGTGTCTTAACCTGAGGCCCAGATGCATTTGCCAGGCTTGCCATTTGACTATTTATGACAATATAAGCGCCAGTTTGTGCTATGCTGCTACCTTTTGAGGTAGATTCTTCAAGCAGGTTTTGGGGGCTTTTTTGTATTTACAAGTGGGCAATCAGTACTATCTCTCCTCAAGAGCAGTACTTGCTAAAGTGGAACACTCCTCTGGCTGCTGAGTAATTTTCAATGAAGCTGATAATCCTGAGGAGAAACAAAGGTCAAAAGTTGACCCAAGACAGCCTTCTCCAATAAAATGTGCGTACTCTTGAGAAACAGTACCGGATGTGGTCTATTCAGGGTAATGATGCTCTTCCGTGACATGCAAAATGGGCAGTAATGATCCCTGGTGTAATTCCACTGAAATCAGCAGCACTACATCAAAGGCACTTTACTGAAATCTTTGCCAAATTGAAGTTTTGCCAAAAGTCTTTGGGTTTTGAGGC